GCCGTACTACCAACCCGGGGTCACCCAACACAATGCGGGCGGCGTCTACACCCCCACGGGACAGCCGGCGCTCGCCCACGCCAACCCAAACACCAACCCGCCCGGCTCGCGCACGCCCGTGACGGGATTCTCCTCTTTTGTGTGAGCGAACGTGTGCGCGGCGTGACGCTCTTTGGATGGGGAACTCACTTTTTGGACAAAAAAACGGACGGCTTGAGGGAAGGGGGGACTTGAACTTAATGCCTCCCGAAAAAAAAAAAAAAACTGACGCAACACTCTTCTCCTCTTCACAAAGCTCTCCAGCGCTTTCACGCTTGAGTGTCACTGTGTTCCCACAACACACACACACACACACACACACACATTCAGCATCCCCACTCTCATTCCCACTTCTACTTGGACACTGCAGAGACTCTCGGAGAAGAGAACCAAGCCGGTGCAACATGGAAGAATCAGCACAAAAAAAAAAAGCTTCCAAAAAGTTGCACTTAAAGTAACATTGCCCGGAGCAGCCCGATACAGAGAGCAAAACAAGGTCGTGGTTGTTCCCCCTCCCACAGGCTTCAAGGACAAATGCGTCCCTCAAGCATCCATATAATTTCGAGTAATCATGTCACTCTAAAAACAAAGGAAATCATGAAAAAAATTATTTATATATATATATATATATATATATATATATACATACACACACACACACACACACACACACACACACACACACCGGTGTATATTCTTTGTGAGCTATTCTGAACATTTTAGAGAGAGAACGTGTGTGAAACTGAGCGTCTCGGCTTCGTGCAACTGCCTGCGTTGTTGTTTCAGAATATTGACAATGCACAGCAGAAGTAGCAGAAAACAAGGTCCTCCCGCCAATCAGAGTAATACGGTGTGCCCCTACACAAATTATTTGGCACAGCAATGTACTCTAAACTTGTAAATGAATTATTATTTTCCCCCCTCCACCTCCCCCAGCTCTAAAAAGGCTTACCTCCCCATGGAAATCAAGAGAAAAATGGGGAGAGTCAAAGACAGGAGTTGTACTTAAAAGCGGCAGTGCTACATTAATGATTGAAGTAGGGGGACACACAACAATTTTTGTTCCACCCTTTGATCATGGAGGATACAGTAAAATAGCACGTCAGGTATTTACCATTTCACAGATTTTGTGTCATTATAATACAGTACAGTAATTTTTTTTTTGTTTTGATTTTGTTTTGTTTTTTTTTTAACTGCCCCTGTTTACATACGTCCACTTATGCAACAGTCTGAATATCTTCTTGCCGATTCTCCACCACTCCTCCAGGCTTGTAGGCTGTCAAAATGATCTTCTGAGCAGCGTCGCATTTGTCAGCGCTTTAGTTTGTCCAGTTTTCCCCGAGGTGGAAAACTGACTGTTTGAAGCCAGTGTACCATTGCCCTTCCGAGTTTCCTGTCTGCGTTTTGAGTTGTCACATGTAGAAAGGGTGAAGGACCACTTCGAAAGGCGGAGTTGTTTGGCCGTCATTCACTTTCTACACACATTTTTAGACTTGCCTAGTTTCACCGATGAGATTAAAAAAAAAAAAAAATCCATGTGTGTACACATGGACACAGAGGATGAAGATTTCATTGGATTGAGTGATTCGGAGTGACTCTGACGGTTTCGGTCAACTTGTTAGCATGTTCCGAATAACTCTTAATATGTTACATGAACATACCAGGCACGCTCTCAGTTCGTTGTTTATGCGTCAGGTAATGTTAGCATATCGTACACATATTCAGCCGGTTGTTCTCGATTTTATTTTTAATTTTAAATTGCCTTTCAAGATGACATGTCTGTTCTTGATGTTGGATTTTGTCAAATACATTTCCCCCAAAAATGCGACTTTATACTCCAGTGCGACTTATATATGTTTTTTTTCCCGTCTTTATTATGCATTTTATGGCTGGTGCGACCTATACTACGGAGCAATTTATAATCCGGAAAATAGGGTCAATTGTGTATGTACACTTAAGCATATCATTACTCGTAGTGGCCGTACAATACAACGTATGTGCGGTTGTTGGAAAACAGACACAATGACAAAAAATGCCGATTGATTAATTTGTCGGTGGTTGTGGTCGCTTTCATTGCGATTTCATCCATCGGGCGGACGGGAACCCAATCCGATTGTGAAACTCTCACCGACCTCTGCGGCTGAGATGATTACATAAGAGGCATCCGTGCCAACGATTTCTGGGTCGTATTCTCCAACCCGAGTGCTTGAGAGTTGTTGAGCGACGCGGAGGCAACTGGGTGGTTGCTTCCAGGTCAGTGAATCAATAAAAACGTCAACTGTATCTGTATTCGGTTCTGCTTCATTTGGCAGACTTCTATGGCTGAAAAACAAGAGGGACAAAAACCACAGTACTTTGAGTGTTGGGAGTTCATTGCCGTGACTCTTTTAGTGACAAATATTTGTAAAAATGCTTTTTTTTTCGCCTTGACTTACACGGCAGAGAACCAAGCCGGTGCAACATGGAAGAATCAGCACAAAAAAAAAAACAACAACAACAACAAAAAAGCTTCTTGTCGTCTGTCTTTACACATCCACGCGCACACTCCAAAAATGCACATGTGCACCAGCTGATGTGACGTCTTTTTGGGTTGAGAGGACGGCATCGGAGCAAGAAGAGTGGACTTGCTGTGCAAATATGAAGATGACAGCTTTAAAACAAATTTGGGGGGGGGGGGGAATAAAAGGGAGTGTTAATCACTGTTTCAGGATGTGTGTCTGGGTGTGTGTGGATTGTTGTTTCTGAATTTCTTTCGATTTGATTTTATTCTCCCAACATGTGACGCTTGTATTAAGCAGAAGCCCTTTGCGTTCCCTTTTATCTTTTTTTTTGGGGGGGGGGTATTGTTATTTTTTTTTTCCAAGTTTGAGTGAGTTTGACGCATGCGCACAGAAAGCATCTTCGTTAATCGCGACGCGCGCCATTGTGTGTTTATATTTTTTAAAATGAATTTTGTACATATAAAACAAATTCAAAGTGGCCGAGCTTTGACTCCAATGGATCGGGCTGATGTACACACATGCACACATGTTTGTACTCCTCATGTATTATTTAAAGTTTCCAGCCAGCCAGCAGCCTCCAGCACTCTGTCACACGTTTTAATGCCTCTCTGGTGAGTGAATAAATGGTCATTGTTAAACTGTGTGCCTATGGCCATATTTTATTTTATTTTTTTGTCCAGCAAGTACAGGATTAAAAAAAAATATGCTGTATATTATTGTTATACCAAGTACATATTTGCACGAGCTGATATGTCATTTAATATAGGATACAAACATGTATTTGGTCTTTATTCAATAGAAATACAAGAATATTCTGGGGTTTTGGGTTTTTTTTTTAATGAAATAACATCAAGCATTTTACAATCTGTTAATTTCATTCTTTTTTTTTTTTAATTAATTTTCCAAACCGCTTATCCTTCCTCATTTATATCTGTTGGTGAATTACTATTTCAAATATTTTGTACATAAAACCATTCCTTGTAATTACACACCGGAACCTCCAACGAATTCGTCAATCTCAATTGAATAGCGAGGCTCATTAAGAGTAGTCTAAACTTTTTCTAATGATTTAAAGATGAACAAAATTAGCCACGATAAGTATGGGGAAACGTGAAAAAAAATGAAGGGAAATCAGAGAAAACGGGGAAAAGGGACAAGAAAAAAAGGAACCGTGGCACGTTGTTGAGAAGTATCCTGGCCACACAGGGGCGCTGTGGTTCGCTCCATGTCCTTGAGATAACCGGATGTAAAGAGCGTCGACATGGTGGATTTTCCTCTACCGTCGTCATGGCTATTTTGTATGTGGTCAACGACAGCAAGAATTGATTCGGAAATTAATTCAAAAACGTGGATGTCGTTTTGAAAACGTACAGCATTTTGGCACTGGAGTGACGGTTTTTCCAAGCCGATCACTGCTGTTCAGTTCGGTGTGGTGAGTTTACATCTCCTCGTACTCCATCGTATGGATTTGATCTTATTGACCCAAGCACCTCTTTCTCTCTTTTATATCCGAGTTTGGACTGGATAATTTTGCAGTCCCCTATTTTGGTATATGAGTTCACAAGTATCAATCGAATTGCTGTGTTTGTGGATTTAAAGAGGTGGTTCAGCAAATCGCGGAGTGAGGACACAGCGGTCATGGGCACTTTCAAACGAAGAGGCCAACCATGCCTAAAAAAGTGTACTACACATTACTTTGAAATTGCTGTTACGTGCAATGATGCTACTGATAAGCAACTACTCAGTGCAATGAACAAGGATTGTGGGAACATATGGCAGGCCTGGATTGGGACAGGGGCTGGGACCTGGCATTTTTGGCTCAGCCTGGCTCTTCATAATTAGTGGAGCATTGGGTTTTGTCTATTCAGTATCCTGAAGTTAAATGTTACGAAAATAAAAGGCTCATACTCATGCATAACACCACCCAAGATAATAAAAAAGGGGCAAAGTTGGCTTCAGCCATGCTTAGAAACAAATGAATGATAGCATTTTCTTATTGTGTTTTTAAAAATAATTATTGTTGTATTATTGTCATGTAAAACACTTTAAGGTTTAGGAGGCTTTCTCAAGTGCTCGACTACTTCTTTTATTCTTTGACTTATTTTGATTCTTCTTGGGCTTGTCGTGTTAACATGAATCAACTTTTTGTGTTTTGTTAGAATCCTGCCATCAATCTGACTGCGAGGAGTCGTCAGCAAACCCAAGTGGAAGTTGTATAGTTGAAAAGCTTCAAAAAGGGAGCAGTAAAGATGGGTGAAGTGACTCCCGTGGATGAGTTGATGAGGAAAGTCCTCCTTCCGGAGCCACAACTCATCATTTTGGCCCTGCCACCCCCTTTTCTTCCAACGGCCGATGAACCGAGCATCGTTTGGCCCAAGTGGCTCATTGCCTTCGAACGCTACCTGGACGCACTCGACGACGAGAAGCTGACTGACGCCAGTAAATGTATGCTTCTGCACAACTGTCTGGGCCCAGAGGGTCAGCGCGTCTTCGCGACGCTGGTCCCGCGGGAACAGTCGTACGTGGCGGCCGTCTCGGCGATGACCGCCTACTTCACCGCTGGCCGGAACACTCGGGCGCGTTTGCTCCGATTCCACCAAAGGACTCAGATGGACGGTGAGAGCACGGATGACTTTGTGGCGGCGTTGGAGGCGCTGCTGGCGCCCGGCGACCGCGTGGGCGAGGAACTGATCTTAACTCAGCTGACTGAAAAAACCATTCTGCCGCAGCTCAGGGAGCGTCTGCGCTCGCAAAGGGAAACGCTCACGCTGGCCGCCGCCCTGCGCATCGCAAAAGAGGTGGAGTCCGGGGTCGTCAACCGGCCTGACTTCAAGCCTCTCGTGCAACAACGCAAAAGAGGAAGGCCTCGGCGTGGGGAGAGAGTTGCGGTTGCAACCCGAAGGTCCAAACGCAAAGTCACCTGTAGCCCTCGCAAAAACAACCCGACGGATGATAACGACGACGACGGCGGCGACAATTGCGTCGATGATGATTGTGACGACGATAACAACGGCAGCGCCTCATCGTCGCCCTTCAAACTGGAGGAATTCTTGGACGAGCCAAGTACGGAAGGCAACGCAAAGATGCGAAAGACGTTTGCTTGCGCCATCTGCGCCGACAGACACTTCGTCAGCGCGCACAAGCTGGCGCGACACATGAGGACGCACACGCAGGAAAAGCCCTTCCGCTGCCCCGTCTGCCCCACCGTCTTCAGCCAGTCCTACCACCTGACGCGGCACATGCGAGTGCAGCACAACGCCGCCCAGCACGTGTGCTCGACGTGCTGCGACAGCTTCGGGAGCGCCGAGGAGCTCAAGAGCCACAAGAAGGCGCACGCGGCGCAGTTCCTGCTGTGTCCCTACTGTCCCGAGAGGTCGCCCAACGACGCGGCTTTTTTACGCCACCTCGCGTACCACGAGGAGCACCGACGGGGAACCGCCGAGGCGACACGAGGGAAGGACGTCCAAACCAATGCGGAGGAAATCCAGACCGACGTGACGGAGTCGTCGATGGGCCATGTCGGAAGCGTTGCCGGCGGCGGCTCCAATGAAAATCGGGAATCCGACGTACGCGTCGAGACGGAAACGACGCCGACTTCCCGCGAAGGGGTAAGCGGCGCGAGCGTCCCCTGCAAGAAAACCCACGTGTGCCCCGTGTGCAACGTGACCTTACCCTACGCCGACAAGCTCAACCGACACATGCGCACGCACACCAAAGAGAAGCCCTTCCGGTGCACGGTGTGCTCGCTGGCTTTCAGCCAATCGTACCACCGCAACCGCCACATGAAGAAACAGCACGGCGTGCGGCAGCACGGCTGCCGCAGGTGCGGAAAGACGATGGCGAGCTGGGCCAAGCTGAAGCAGCACCGGAAGACGCACGCGGGCAAAGAGCTGACGTGCCCCGCCTGCAACAAGAGCTTCAAGGAGAAAGCCCACTTGGAGAGCCACCTGAAGTTACATCCGAAGATCCCGCGCGGCCCTTACTCGCTCATCTGCGAAGAGTGCGGCAAAGTGTTCGGACGCAGGTACCACTTGAAGAGGCACGTTCTGGTGCATTGCCGGGCCGCCAACAACGAGTGCTACACCTGCGCCGAGTGTCACAAGAACTACGCCTCGGCGGAGGACCTGAAGAAGCACCTGATCAATCACGCCAAGGAGAAGAGCGGAACGTGCCCGCGCTGCGACCGGAACTTCGGCAGCCGCGAGGAGCTGGAGGCGCACGTGGCGGCGCATAACGCCTCCTACCTGTGCAGCGTCTGCGGGAAGAAGTTCAAGGTGGAGGCGGTGCTGAAGAAGCACGAGGAGAAGCACAAGGGCCAGCACTACCACTGCGCCGTGTGCAGCAAGCACTTCGGCGACCCGGCGCAGTACCAGCGGCACGTGGAGATGCACGACCGGCGCGAGAGCAAATGCCCGCACTGCGAATGCGTCTTCCTCAAGCACACCGCCTTCAAGTATCACCTCCAAACGCACACCAAGGAGAGACCCCACCAGTGCGCGTACTGCGCGGACACCTTCGTGGACAACGAGGAGCTGGAGCGCCACCGCCTCAAGCACAGGAAGTTCCGCAAGGAGCGCCCGTACAACTGCACGCGCTGCGACGCCGCCTTCGCCGCGCTGGCCGAGCTGACGGCGCACTTGGAGGGCCACAAGGGCGAGGCGCCGCTCAGCTGCGACATCTGCGGCCGCACCTTCCTCAACGCCGGCAAGCTGGAGAAGCACCTGAGCATCCACACGGGCGAGCGGCCCCACCTGTGCCCGCACTGCGGCAACGGCTTCCCGACGGCCGCCAACCTCAAGCAGCACATCTACTCGCACACGGGCGAGAAGCCCTTCGCCTGCTCCGAGTGCAGCAAGACCTTCCGCTCGGCCAGCGGCCTGCGCCTGCACGGCCGGCGGCACATGGACGCGCCGCCCAGCTTCCGGTGCGCCGACTGCGGCAGGACTTACGGCCGCATGACCGAGCTGAGGATGCACCAGCGCTACCACACGGGGGACAGGCCCTACACGTGCGTCAGCTGCACCAAAACCTTCGTCAGCAAGCACAAGCTGATGGTGCACGCTCGCATACACACGGGAGAGAGGCCGTACTCGTGTCCCTACTGCAAACAGACCTTCAGACAGACGGGAGACAGAAACAGACACATCAATAAGTTCCACTCGAAAGATTCGCAACTGCTTTCGACTCCGGGGTGGTGATGGCCGTGTCGTTTCAGGAAACGGCGTCATCCCGCAGCAGCAATGACAGAATCGGCCCGAAGCCATGTTTCCACCAAACGGTCCCGTTCACTAACGGCAGGGTTAAGATCAGTCAAACAAAAAGGTTTTGGTGGTCTCATTTTCAAATCCTGTTTGTCAGCAGACTAAATTTCACTCTTTCTGGAAGCTAAAAAACACTTTTCACAGATATTGACAAACGGCGAGTGATGCCATAGCAGCTTGACTGAATCAGCTCGGCAGAACTTTTGCTTTACAAGTTCGAGATGGCTGGAAATGTTTGTCAGTCACTCATATTTAACATTCTGCTGTATAGTTGATTGCAAAAACTGTTCCGATACGACTACACGGACAGCTCTTCACCAACCTGGCATGTAGAGTACCTTTCGGGTAAGAGCCATGTCAGGTGCATGGAGATGCTTTAAGGACACGGGTTGCAAATTATACTCTGCAAAACCGACGATGACCTCCTATCGGACAGTGACAGAGATAGCTGTCGTCTTGCAAACCCCTGAGCTCAGCGAGCCCCATCGCCTGCCTCGCCGCACCTTGAGTAAGTACAAGCGATAATGTGATAAAGTATGACAACAGTTGTCATATCAGTTTTATTTTCAAGAAACAGGCTTGCATTTGTTTATACTCACTTTTGTTTGTATCAAACACACGAGACATAACATGCCATCCTGTTTTTTTTTTCGTTTTTTTTAAGTGAAACGAGGCAAGACGGACAAAACAGGCGGTGGAACGTCGGTCATAACAAGTTGTTACTGTAAAAAGTGTTATATTTGAGTGAACCATATGTCATATTAAAGAGAAGTGTGTTTTTGAACAATATTTGATTGGAATGAAACATTTTCAACACAGTCTCAAGACGTTCTGGTTTTATTCAGTACCAGCGTACAACATTGGCGACTACACAAATGTAAATCCTTGTACTTGGCCTGAATAAAAAGTTATATCATTCATCCCTCACACCAACTAAAAATGCCAAGCATTCAAGTGGTTTTACTGAAGTGTGAATAAAATGTCAAACAAATGGACCACGTTTATAATATGTACAGTCGGTGCAACAAACTGCATTGTAACATTGAGATTGTAAAAATAAACTGTTGTCTTGTAAAAATACTTTTTTTTTTCATTCGTTTGTACATTGTATCTAGTTTTGCGTCAAATTCGGAGCGTGATGAAGTCACTCACTCACATACACTAAAGCAGCAGTCTTAGTGAAAGTGTATCAAAAACACGTGTAGGGGCCTGATTAATAAACAATCGAAATTAGATTTATATTCCTAATGATTTTTGTTTGGTTTTTTTGGGGGGAAATTTGGTATTCCTACGTATCTCCATATTTTTCATTTGTATATTTTAATTTTGAGAAAACAGAAATGTGCTTTTCGAGTTTTTGTACGCGTGTGTGTGTGTGTGTGTGTGTGTGTGTGTGTGTGTGTGTGTGTGTGTGTGTGTGTGTGTGTGTGTGTGTGTGTGTTTGTTGAATTTGACACGCTCATTGCAAGTCGCCTGTAATCCTTTACGGGGCAGCCCCCACCTATGTTGTTACCGCTCCCACCTGTATTACTTTAAGAAGAAGAAATTGTTCATCGTGATGATGTTTATGTCCTGCCCTCAACCAACAGCGAAGGCATGACCAAACATTTCTGTTATTTTGGGGATTTTGTAACTACATTTTGAGCACTTTTCACTCTTCCTCGGTAGGGGGCAGCACTCAATATTGAGCAGCGTAACCAAACTACATTTTAGTAACCTACGAGGACAAAAAAAAAACATGCTAACGCTCGTCAACAGCTTCCCGTTTGCGGCTTTCTTCACTTATTTTCATGCTAATCTGACGTTGACGTGTGTGACTATCGTAATTTTGGCAGTAAATTGACGTCTTTAAAAACTCATTGAGTTTAGAGTACTGAGTGTTAAGATAGATCAGTAGTAACATTGCTTATTTGCCTTTTCGACGCATTGTCGCTTTCGTTGAACTACACTATAGTTAGTTTAATCGTACAAATCTATGAGTAGAAAAGTGAAGAGTTACGCGCAGTGTCATTCAACGGCGCTATGTAACAAACGACTCTTAAATTCCCGAGAAAAGTGTTAGCTAATGCTATGTTAGCTTGTTGTCAGCCGTAACTTTCGTGTCATTCTTAATAAATTTTCTCAGGGGGTATGTAAAAGCAGATAGTGGAGTTATTCCGTCACAATGGCTGCATTGGGTTTTACCCTTGCCAGAAAACAGGACATTTTCAGCATCGAGGCGTTTGAGTCATCATCACCTTTTCAAACAAGCAGCACCTCTGGCGGACAAGAGGCCAGACAATTCTATGAAAACCTCCTCAAAGATGATCAAGTGACTTTGAAAAGACAATGTGAACAGAATCGTCGAAATAAACAGAAGAAGAGGCGATCCAGCAAAAGGGACAGTAGAAGGAGGACTGATACGGATGCCGTGGTGGTGGAAAGAGCGGCCGGAGGAGAAGAAGGCACCCGAATAAGAGAAACGTCAGGCGGGCACGTCAACTCTGAAATGTCCTCAGAGCTTCAGGGTCTCAAGCTGCTGCGCTTTGCCCAAGATGGAAACCTCACTGGGCTGAAAGACTTGCTGTCCAAGGGGGTGGACATCAACTTTCAGGTAGGTTACGTTCTCATTAATGACGAGCGAAGTAACGATATGAACATTACACAAATAACCAACCACGTGCACCCTCTGATTAAGATTTTGATCGGGTTTGTTTTGAATTTAGTAAATATTTTAACCGTATTAATGTTTTTTGTTGAATAAATTCTAAACAGCAACAACCAAAGGGAAGCAATGCTGTTTTTTTATGTAGTTAGCTTTAATTCGATTTGAGCAATGTTACTTTTTATTTCAGTACATGGAATATTTGGCGAAATCAAAACTTCACTCAATACTGTGTGATAAAGTAAACTACAAGTCTCAAACGGTTGCTGGACGTCCTTCTTCTGGACACAGGCTACTTCTGGTGTTTCTACTTGAGAGTCACCAAGACCCCAGCTCTGTCTGCGACCTGAGTGCTGTCGTCAGCAATATCTGACCTTCAAGGCTAATTGCCCATTTTTGCTCCAGTTCGGGAATAACTGGACACTCTTCATTGGTTTTCCAGGACACCTTTTTTTGGACAGGTGTGATGTGCGCAAGCTGGTCGGGACAAAGAGCTGCCGTGAGGCTGCTGCTCGAGCAAGGCGCCGCCTGGGTGGGCGTTGTCGACACTCAGGGCAGGGATGCCAAAGATCTCGCATGGGAGGGTATGTAAACATCCGCCTCATGTTGATTTAATGGCATATTGGTCACGAGACCTATCACTCGGCTCCTCCTCAGCGGGCCACAGCGGCGTGTTGGAGGAGCTGGAGGACTACGGCAGGAGTCCAAAGAGACAAACTGATCCCAGGTTAGTTTGCCTTCCTGACTGATGTGAGAGAGCTGACCCAGACACCCAACCCAAAGTTAGTGTAGAGCCCTGCACAAAGGGAGGTGATGTTTGTGTATATTCAAGTGAACCGTCCACAGTGAAAATTACTGTAGAGTGGAGGTGATTGGAACGTTGCCTTTTGTGTGTCCGCAGTTCAGTTCAGCCCCAGCGGTGCGACGTGTGCGGTGTGGACCACACAAGCAGCCTATCATCACACCTCTCCTCCACACTGCATCAGTTCAATATGAAGAGACCCCCACCAACCCCTTATTATTGTCTCCCTCCCTCCGCCAATGGTTACAAGATGATGCTCAATTGCGGCTGGCGGCCCGGCAGGGGCCTGGGTCCGGAGGGCCGGGGTCCCAAGCGACCTGTGACCACAGTCCTGAAGAGGGACCATAAAGGCCTCGGCTACGGGGCAAGGGTGAGAGCCAGAGTGACTCACTTCAAAGCGGGAGATCGGAATGCGGTGAAAGCAACGCATACAGAGAAAGAGGGGCAGGGACAGAAGGGAAAGACCAAAGAGGAAAATCGGAGGAAAGAACAACAAGAGAAGGACTGGGAAAGGGACTTCCGTGCCTCTTTTTATCTGTGATGTCAACAATGCTTGTGTTATTTCACACTTGTAACACATTCAAGAGCTGAAAATGCACGTGTGAGTGAGAGAGAGAAAATAAAATTGTATTTGATGCTAATTTAATTTTGGTTATGGCAACGCTCCGTAATTGGGTGGCAACCAGTTCAGGGTGCCTGAAGTCAGCTGGGATCGTCTTCAACACACCTGCGATCCTTGTGGGAATGAAGCCATTCAGGTAATTGATGGATGCTCACGTTTTGAAGTTTTGTTGAACAGCGTGCTAGCTGAGTTAGCTGCAATGCTAACTTGTCAAGAACAAGCTTAGCTATAGGAAAAGAAAATTCTGGTAATATGCATCGCAGGGAGTAGGAGTAGTAATATCTTAACAGTGGATCACCTTTATTGGTGTTTGCCTTCCGGGCGCCATGTTTGCAGTTCCTCACTTGGCCGCAGAAACAAGATGGCGTCAAAGTTCCATATGGTGTAAAATAGCGAGCCAACGATGTTTTTTGGTGTAAAATGGCTTATCATAGCCTTGTATCCATACTCTTGAACAAGAAGACACTCAGTCCAGGCATATTTCAGCCAGCATTTCTTCTGTCGAAATAACAGGTAAAAAGTTGATGTTTCTTCACTGTCGCCGGCGTCTATCCTTTTCGTATTTGCTAGCTAACTTCCACTGTTTACTTCTCTCTCGTTGCAATGGAAAATGCTCAAAATGGCAATCACCACCCTGTGCGTGGCAACCACGACGGTTCATATGTGATATATGGCTGTTTCTGCGGATTACTGTGCTCGCTGTCGTTTAGCTTTAGCAACATTAGCACGCTAGTGGATTAACCTTTAGCCCATCTACTAGGAACTAACGCTATCCATAAAATCTATATTGTGCGCTTGCTCTTTGCATGTTCTGAATGTAGTTGCTGGACAAAAACGTAATTTCCAAGAAGTAAACTTCCAACGTGTTGTCAAGGTCATGTTCTTACACAATCAATATCCGATTAAATACTAAACTATCAATACATTAAACACGTTTCAGGAATGAATCGATTGCATACATTGTTTAGTGTTTAGCTTTATTCAGCACGTGAAGCCTCATAAAATAACTTAAATGGCTGTTTTAAACATAACGTATGGCAGTGGAGTGTGCTTTCTCTTAAAAAAACTGTTACAATCACTTACATATTACGTGTACATTAATATTTGAAACCTGTAGTGTACATTTTCTATCCTCTACTTGGTGGTGGCACACCACTAGATTCGATAGCGGAAAGGTTGGACAGGCACTCAAGAGACTCACCATTTGTATACGTACAGCAAGCAATTAACAAAGAGATGATAACATCTCCGCATTAATACTTACGAGGCATTGTCATTTCACCTCGACAGGACTGTACCAGACTTTGGATGGAGTCAGCATCCCATTTGTCTTTTTGTGCCGTCACAACAAGTGACTGCACGTTGACGCATCAGTGGGACCACAGACAGGAGAACAATGGTCAAGTACTTTACTACCAAATGTGACATCAATGCCGCCTGGGATCATGTCGTGTCGGCGTTTTGGCAGCGCTATCCCAACCCCTTCAGGTAACACAAGACAGCGTCGTATCAAGTCACGTTTGTACGTTTAAGCGCTTGAAGCGTCATCGTTGTTGTCCAGCACTCACGTTCTCACGGAGGACGTCGTGTACCGCGAGGTGACCACAGACCACAGGCTCCTCTCCAGACGTCTGCTCACCAAGACCAACCGGCTGCCTCGATGGGCCGAGCACTTCTTCCCTGCTGGCATGTCGCGCTCCGTGTACATTGTGGAGGACTCCATCGTGGACCCGATCAGCCGCAGTCTGACAACTTATACCTGGAACCTCAACCACACAACTCTCATGGTCAGAAGGCCTTTCTTGCTTTGTATGCAAGATCTGCATTAATATTGTAGAACAACTTCATCCATTCGTCAATTTAAAATGTGTCCCAGACACTGAAAAAAAAATTTGCCAAATCAAATGAAAAAAATAAAAACAAGAGTAATTTTAAAAATTACTCCTCTGCCATACCAAAGAAGGAAGGTCAGTGGTTAGGTTATTGTAGTTGACTTAATTGCACAATACTTATTGTGACCTTGTTTTAATGTTTCACTCAACAAAATACTGGAACAACAAAGATAAATTATTTTGTTTTTGTTGTACAGTATACTCAAATCATTTGGGTTTCATGTCAAAAGATGAGTATGAGACAAACGTTCTGAACTCTAGCTTTTATACTATGGTATTTCCATCTCGATGTTTTTTTTTTTTTGTCTTTTCAATTGAGCAAAATTATTGGAACGGACATTATTAAATTAACTTAAAGTGACTAACATTTAATATGAAGTGACATAACCCTCACTTGCATCAAGCCTGCGACCCTTTTGACTTCAGCAGAATGTTGTATTCTTCATTTGAAATGCTTTTCCAGGTCTTTACTGCTGCCCCTTTCAGTTCTGGACTTTTTTTTTTTTTTTTTCAGTAACATTTGAATTTCAACAGTCACATCTAGTTCTCAAGTTAATTAACTTCCATGAAACTTGACATGTAAAAAACCTTATCTTACAGGGAAGATTTCCAATAGTGGCCTCGAGGTGGCAGTAATTGTCTTTTTTACAGGTGCATGTCAAAAGTGTTTTGTCGGACTTGTCTTTTTCTGTGTTCCCTCGCCAGTCTGTGGAGGAGCGATGTGTTTTCCGGGACTCGGCAGAACAGCCGGGCGCCACCCAGCTGAAACGAGAGGCCTGGATCACCTCCGGCATTTATGGCTTCTCCAGACCCATCCAGGTGCCTCCATGTCTTTTTGTCCCTTTTATTTACAGCAAGGTCATAAGCACGCGCGTAAAACTCCACATCTTATTTGGGTTGTTGACACGCAGTCAACGGGTTTGTGCAAGAAAGTCCAAGTGAATTGTTCTCCGCGGGAACATAACAATCCTTCAGACGTTCAAAACAGGAAGTTGTGTCCTTCATATCTGTCTTCCATGTAAAGCCGTTTCCTGTTTTTCCCCCCCCGTCCGCCGCACTCAGGAGTTCGGATTGGCGCGCTTCAAAAGCAACCAAGTGAGAGCCATGAAAGGACTGGAATACGCGCTGTCGAACCTTCAAGGTGGGTCCGCGCAACGAAATGCACTTAAAAAAACGACACACGGCGTCTAATTGGGAAACATTAGTGGAGGAAAGGCTCCTCATTCGTCCAGTCAGAATCACTTCTTGATGGGACCACCACACAGACCAAAACCAAAAAAAAAAAACGCTTGACAATTTTTAAAATCTGCAGTCCTTAATGGACCCGCTCAAAAGCAACACAAAATATTAGTCATATATATTAGAATATACACAGACCAAAACCAAAAAAAAAAACGCTCGACAATTTTTAAAATCTGCAGTCCTTCATGGACCCGCTCAGAAGCAACACAAAATATTAGTCATATATATTAGAATAATATATCACAATACAAAGGTATTGTGAATGAGGAACTGATATGCCAGATCAGCAAGCTTTTACTGTGTTGTCGTGAAAGCTGGATTTCGGCTGCACTTCCAAGTGTCCAATTTGGATCGATTGCATCCTGATTTGAAGTGGATAATAATGAATTGAAGTGGATAATATGGGCGCCCACTTGCGCATCTTAGTATTTTCCCAATCGGCTTTATGATGCGGACGATGCTTTATGAACTGGAGTGACTTTCAGTTCACAACTGCGCATCATCAAGAGTGCATTGCTTGACTTTTTTTTTTGTGACCTAAAGCGTTTGAGACCATTCCATTGTGTCGGTGTTTCTAAACTTTTCGCTGTGTAAAATGACAACAAAAATCTCATTGCATCATACCCTTTCGAACTGGCCCGTACCACAAAGGGCAAATAGAGGGGAACCTCCGTAAAGCAGCCCACCAGTTTCCTGCCTAGACGGGCTGCTGTGGGGAAGTGAGGTACGGAATCACAAGTTGTACACTCTTGACTGGTCACCAACCAAATGTGCAAAACATGCGTTATCGACAAATACAAATTCACATGTATGGATAAGTTGACAGTCTTCTGTCAACCCACTATGCATATTTTTGGTATTTATTGTCTTTACAAAAAGGAAGAATGTTTGTTTGATGTGACCAAATGACAAGGAACACCACACAAAACAAACTGCATGTTGTGTGCGGCGCCGATGCGTCATCGCTGTTGTGTGATTCTGTCCCACCGCCGCCTCCGTCGACGCCACCTTCAGACGTCGGCCTCGGGCCGAGCGGGCTGGTCAGTACGCGAGTGGCAAAGCCGGTCACGACATGAGGTACACCGGCACCATCGATGACAAGAGATGCCAGGATGTTTCGGGTGGCTCAACGCGAGGAACTACTGATGACCTGAAGAAATGCAGCCGGGTAGTGTAGAGAGTTCAGGGTTTGGGGTTTTTTTTTCCTACGTTCAAAATTGCGTGGCGGCCTCCTCCAGTGAGTTTTGTGTTGCCCCCAGCCAGACCGGTTTGATATCGCTCAGCACGGCGTGAAGCACCAGCTGTGCTAATTGAGGGATCGATGTCCCTCTGCGGCAGCTTTGTATTTTAACCGCAGTTTGCTATATCAACAGCAGTGCGCAGGAACGACCTGAAGCAACGGCTCATGTCCTCCTCCATCGAGCTCCGGTACGCCTCTTAGTCCTGCGTACGTGCACGTTAAGTGCTGACCCAAAATATGCCGCAAACTCGGGATGCGTGACAAATATCGTAATGACGACGTCTTGTCGAGGGGGTGGGAGGGGGGGGTGTCATGGGTACAACGGCGTTCTGAAAGCCAACAACGGTAAAGCGCAAACCTTTCGCCAGAGTGAAGCCAAAGGCTCAAACGAAGCGATCACATTTCAACATTGACGTTGCGCTCGCTTGATGACAAACCTTTTCGCATCTATGACTTTTGTGAGGGACTAAATCATTTGTCACGTACGGTTTAGACTTCGGAGCTGCCGCCAACTTCGAAAAACAGGAGGCGTCGTGCTTCTGCATATCCTGACAGAAGGAAACAAGGACACGAGCCACACTTCTGATTTATGGCCGGGTGACGTGAGCCCTGTTAGCTTTGCTCTAATGACTTTTTTTTTTTTTTTTTTT